TCTTCACCATCTCGTCATCATCATCATCATCATAACCATCATGACGTCATTCATGAAGTAAGGATTAGCAATATATTTGACATTGTTGCTTATGTTCTGATGTCATTTATGCAAATTTCTTTCATATTTGTATTCCTTCATTTCTCTCTCTCTCTCTCTCTCTCTCTCTCTCTAATTTCACAGTGCACTCCTTTATCCATCTATCATCTATTCTTTTACGCATTCATCCATGCATTCGTCCATCCATTCATTTATTTATCTATCCATCCATCCATCCATCCATCCATCTATACACATATCCATTCAACTATCCATTCATCCAACCCTCCATCCATTCATCCATCCATCCATCCACCTAGTTTGACCTTGACCCCGGCGAGAGCGGAAGTCGTCCAATATGTTTTCAATAGGACAACAATGGAGTTAACCATCTATGCTCAGCTTAAATCTAGGCTATCGTTATTTTATTATCGTCCACGCGACGGAGATGATGATGATGATGACGAAGATGGCGATGATAGTAATGATGTTGCTGTTGATGTTTGCATTGTTGGCTTTGTTAATGATGTTGAAGATGGTTGTTGTTCTGATGGAAGATGGACGGAGGGAGGAATGAGTGATGATGGGAGGTGCGGTTGAGGGCAGGTTGCTTCTTCTTCAACATCATCATCATCTTCTTCTTCTTCTTCCTCATCGTCGTCTCATCATCATTTCTTAACGTTATTATTCTCATCAACGATAACATGCACACGCACGCACCAACACACGCGTACACACACGCGCGCACACACACAACAAATTATCCCAGCAATGAAGTAATAATAGGTATTTTTTTTTTTTGTCTAGTTGAATTTATTCACGAGTTCGTTGTCAAAGTGTTCCTCCTATCGCCAAAAAAGATAATAAATAATATTAAGCATCGCTACTTCAGTTCCACCTACATGAATATTAATTAATTAGTAAATTAATTAAATAATTTATTTATTAACTTACTGTTGGTATAAAACAATTACGAAATTAAACTAAAACAAACAGTTAAGAAATGAAGAAGAAAGTAAGCGGATGAATAATTTGAAGGAACAAAACGTTAAACACAACACAAATTTTAAAATTGCCAAAACATGAAATAAACCAACAAATAATAAATTAAAATAAACCAACAAATAATGAATTGAAATAAACCAACAAATGATAAATTAAATTAGACCAACAAGTAATAGATTAAAATAGACCAAAAAATAATAAAATTAATTAAGCGAAAAGTTAATAGAGGTAAATAACCAGCGAACATGAAACAAATTAGAAAGTTAAGAGCACGCGATGGAAATAATAGGACGAGCGTGAAGAATGCCAGCCGGCCGGCCGGCCGGCCAGACAGCACATCCATCCAGTGTGGAGAGGTGAGCATTGGAGTCAACGAGGCGAAGAGGCATTGCAAAAGTTCCATGATGTGTGAAGTTATTTGCCTGCCTCCCTGCTTGCCAGCCTCCTCAACAACACTCGCCACAAATTACTTTTCATATTTTTTTGTATAAGCAGGAAAGGTCTCGATAAAATTGTTATCCAGCCTTTCAAACTGTCTCTCATAGTAACAGCGTGCCCCGTGATCGTCACGAAGCAGCGTTTTCTACAGGAATCGTGAGTTTTAGAACAAGATTTAGAACAATGTTATTAATTGGAGCACCTTCTCCTTTTGAGTGCTGCTGCAGTTGAATATCCATTCCTCAGCTCATACATCATTTGGACCAACTCCTACCTGGACACGAACCAATAATATGGATCAGTTAGTTCGTGTGAAGTTTCCAAGGAGTTGAAGTTGACGTGGCGATGCATCTTCCAGTATTGAGCCTTTGAAGAGTCCAAAGAATTGATTCAATCAACTTTATAAGAATTGGCAAGACCAGTAACATTACCAACTTGTAAAACGCACACACACAAACACACACAAGTTAACATAGAGACACACACGATGCAATGCATGTAAAAGCAACATGCGAACTGCACTCAGAAACACTTACAAACACACACACAAACCAAACACGCGCACACACACACACACACCACATACAAACATACATCGTCCGTGGCGGGGCATTATATAAGAAACAAATTCAATTTATTCACTGGACCCGCACCTTAATAAGATTGATTGATACCATATGCGGCATATATGTACGTATGTATGTATGCGTATATATGTATACATACAAACGAACATACATTGTACAAAACGTGCGTATGGACAGAGAGGTGTATAATTAGGTAAAGTGTGCATATATTTATTCGTCAAAGGACAGCTAAGGTTTATGAATGGGCATGGAGAGCCGGAATGAAAGAAAGGATGAAAAAGAACAAAAGATGGTGGGGAGGAAAAAAATCGAACTGAAAAATAAGCAAACTTATACATGAATGAAACATGAAATAAAAGCAAAAAAACATACCGTTAGTAACGAGTCTACATAATTCGAACACGCACACGTATACACATGCACGTAAAGTAACATTTACATCCGCAAATGCACATCCAATTATAAACACACACACACACACACACACACAAACATCCACACACACAAACACCCACACAGACACACACTCACATCCACACAACAGGAACACACAAACGCGCGCATACAGAGAGATATAAAATTTATCCAGACCGAGAAAGCATTCGAATTGGCAAATTACTTTCGTAACATTACGCCACGTCCAAGCAAGCAATCAGGGAATAAGGCCGCCAATTCAAACAGGAGGGCACACAATACAATTCCATACAATGCAATCCCAGCCAGGCAATACAGGCGAACAGAAATATAACTGTATTAAAAATGTTAAAAAAATTGAAAAACAGTCCAATCACAATGAAACAGTGTGAACGTTTGTACATCTTTGAAGAGACAGTTAATTTAGATATGAAGTAAGATAAATCTAAAAATGTTAGATGCGTTCACTAGATAGAAATTCATTCAACTGTTTCGTCACGAAAATTTGAGGATAGAAAATCTACAACTTCACTTTAAACCTCGCTTCTAATTACTTAGTGACACGATTTAAAACATTTAAAAACATGTTAATATATGAATTAAATACTAAAGTTAAAAATCGATAATTAAAATTCATTCGCTAGATGTCAGATCGTTCGCACCATTGGCCAGGATCAGGAAAGGTAGAGACCTGCCGTCCAGCAAGCCATCAACGCAGCGGCTTCTGCGGTGCATCTGCAAGGTTTGCAATTCATCTCCACTTCATACATGCAATAATAAGATATTAAAATGTTTTTTAACTCGCACTTCAAACTGTAGAAAATTTAATCTATTATAAATAAAAATATTAATGAAAAAATTTAATCATTTAAAAAAAACTTGCAAACACCTTTAATAAAATTTATTAAAAAAATTAATTTTTTGCAGATAAATGATGACGCATCATGCGCCAACCGCCACTGATTAAGCAACAAAAAGTGGACACCATGATGAGAGAGGAGAGGCCTGTGCAAGAGTAGGTAGGTAGTTGCAGGCGTAGGTAGTTGCAGGCGTAGGTAGTTGCAGGCGTAGGTAGTTGCAGGCGTAGGTAGTTGCAGGCGTAGGTAGTTGCAGGCGTAGGTAGCTGCAGGCGTAGGTAGTTGCAGGCGTAGGTAGCTGCAGGCGTAGGTAGTTGCAAGCGTAGGTAGTTGCAGGCGTAGGTAGTTGTAGTAACGACGACGGGGACCTTGGCTGTGAAGCTCGTTTCAAGCAAGAATATACAACTCATGTGCAGTCGGATATGAGCGGCATGTATTCATGCTAGAGAAGATGAGCGGTAACTAAAATATCCATTAAACATTGGATAAATCAATAAACGAATTAAACCAAAGATGCAAGAAATTTAAGAATGATATTTTTTAAAAATCTTTAAAGCCAACTATTTTGACGGGCATCTTGAATTTGGCCTTGTTGAGAACTACGCCACCATCGTGGGAGACATCGATTTGGCAGCTGTCCAATAAATCTTTCAGAAGTGATGATTCCATCTCCAAATCATAACACAAGAACTCGCAGAGGTCGGCCAACGAACATGTGCTGACCTTGCTGTTGTAAGCTCGGCACATTATTTCAAGGCAGTTTCTGCACGTCATGTAAAAAATGATCGTCGTCATTCCCACATCGTCATCACCATCGTCACCATCACAAATCCTCCACAACAACCATCTTCATTAGCCCACTTGATACATTCAATCTTGGTACAATTTTTGGGAAAATCATTTACAAGGCATCAAGTTGTTTCAAAAGGAGCTCAGGTGTAAATATTTTAAAAATAATTTTCAATGCCGTAATATGCACCGACTGACAAAAAATTGTGTGCTGAAAACATGACGCGTTGGTGGCGTTTGAAGCAGGCTTTTAATGATAAAATGCTTTCGAACTAGGTAGATTAGCCTGCCAATCTTACAACATAACTGATCTATCCATCTCCGTGCTGATGATTAACGTACCTCATGTTAACTCTTCGTTTAAAAAACTTTCTTCGTTATCAATTATTTTCATTCTAGCTAAGCAATATCCACTTCATTTCAGAACGAAATAAGAACAAGAACAAACATGACCATGAACGAACATGATCATGAACGAACATGATCATGAACGAACATGATCATGAACGAACATGATCATGAACGAACATGATCATGAACGAACGTGATCATGAACGAACGTGATCATGAACGAACATGATCATGAACGAACATGATCATGAACGAACATGATCATGAACGAACGTGATCATGAACGAACGTGATCATGAACGAACATGATCATGAACGAACATGATCATGAACGAACATGATCATGAACGAACATGATCATGAACGAACATGATCATGAACGAACATGATCATGAACGAACATGATCATGAACGAACGTGATCATGAACGAACGTGATCATGAACGAACATGATCATGAACGAACATGATCATGAACGAACATGATCATGAACGAACGTGATCATGAACGAACGTGACCACGGACGAACGTGAATGAACAACTTACATTCGGACTGCATCCATATGAGCATGTAACAAACAAGCCTCCAATGGCGTCAGATGATTTAAAGATGATGATGATGACGATGATAGGGATGATGAAGATTTGCTCTTCGCACTCCTTCTTAACATCGTCATAATCCGCTGGTAGTTTTTCATAGAGAACCAGGATTTGCTCAATTCAAATATTCCCATGAATGAGGCATCAGACCTGAAACATCACAATCACATTATTTGAATTGGAGGCATGGGGAGGATATCTTTAATGAATTATGAAGAACACGAACGCATATTTGTGCATCCTGCAGGCTGCAAACTGGAGAGCATCAGCGTTGCCCAGGTTCAGTAGCATGTAGTACTTTATGAACTCTGTGTCACGATGTTTCTCATGGGGCAGTTCGTCACAAGATGGCAGACTGTGTTGGATATGTTTCTCCATGGATGGTGGCAGATTATCATGGTGAATGTTGTCAGCATCGTCACCATTTGATGTTACTGAGTAACATTTAATATCATCAACGTCATTGCTGCTACAGTTGTTGTCAATGTTAATATCATTAAAACCATCAATAATATCATCCATTCTAGTGTTATCTGTAGTAGGATTAGTGGCTGCAGTAGTAGTGGCAGTGGTAGTAACAGTGGTAGTAGAAGTTGTGGCGGCGGCAGTAGCCGCTACAGTATCTTCATACAAAAGTAGAAGATGTTTGAGGCATTCTTGCAGATGTGATCTGTTTATTGTTGGATCGAACTGCGAATCATCTTCATCACACAACCTAAAAAATATTTATTTTAGAAGTTAAAATGCCAAAGAATTGTGATGGGAACATTTTTAAAATTTGTAATTAGTTGAAAGAAAGATCAATCCATCCATTCACCTGTCCATGCAACGCATGAATTTGGAATGGTTGGAAGGGGGGAAGGAGCAAATTACATTTTTTGATTACAGGTTGTAATTGTTTTGGATATATGAGCAAATGGATAATGAACGTAGATATGAATTTGCGTTCATTTAATCAATTGTTATGTTATAAAAAATGAACAAAAATAAATTTGAAAAAAATATCCATCTACTTCCGTTGTAAAACTACAATATCGACAAACTAAAATAATTTGTAGGATTTTTCCAACAAATTTAATTTCTAGAAAAGAAAAAATAGCGATGACAACCTGTACCCAGAATATATCAGAAATCTGACAATGACTTCATAAATGGTAACCACATTACCATCCTTCAGCCTCTGCAGACATATGTCCTGTCGAATTGCTCTCAAGCGATCGAAGATGAAGTTGTAGATGACGTGGAATGATTCCGAAGGTGACGTCATAATTCTGGAGTGAGGGAAAGTTAGTGGAATGTGCTTCATGTGTCAGTGTGGTCCGTGTGTGAGTGTGAGAACAACATTCAGGTGGAACAGACCTACCGATTGACCAGGTAGAAAGTCGTTCTGAGGAGGACGTCTGATGGTCGGAGATCATTTATGCTAATTTTCTTACCAGCTGCAGCTCGGCTGAACTCTTTCACCATTCTTATATTGAAAATGAACATGCTCGGGTTGTTTTGAGTTATATGACATTCAAGTTGGAATCATTTGAAATATAAAAATTATTTAAATAAATAATTTCATCAATTAAATTTACCAGCATTTGTGCCGAAAATGCGATAATTTTCATGTAATTTACTGGGCAAAAAAATTTTAAATATAAAAAAACCAACATGGGATTTTGGTCACCTTTTGAAGCTTGTTCTAGTCTGTGGACTCTATTGTACTTCTGCCTCCTAATATTTAGTAGACATTAGAATAAATATAAACAAACCTAATATTAGAACATGAACATTTTAAAAAGAATTATAATTATAAGCATATATTCATGAACATAGTCTGAATAAAATGCAAATTATTTCTTTCCCATTTCTTTATCCTGTTTCCAACTACATTGAGAATGTCCAGCCATGCTAATTATAAAATGATATTTGTAAGCTCCATTCACCAGGTTTTTGAAATTTGTCTTATTTTTTGAAGGGACTGACTTGGTGCAACTAAAATTTATAAGCAAATTTTTCTCATGTTTGAATACAAAATATTATATTTTATATAGAATACTATACTTTTATGGAATATCATCTCATGCCAATTACAATTCTTTAAAAAAACATTATTATACATTCATTCATCTATTATAATTTAGTAATGTTAAAATTAAAACATATATTTAGATAGACAAATGGTAAGTCAATATATTACATATGGATATAATCCATATAGCCATATTAAATGTAACCATTTTTAATAATGAAATAGAACAGAATAGAATAGAATAATTAATAATTAATACAATTATGCAAAATTGATCCCACACATTATTTACTTTTTACAGTTACACAACATTGCTTCATTAATAATCATTATTGCTTCATCCATTTATTTATTTACAAGTAGTTAGTATTATTGCTGGAGTACGCTATCAGGTACTTCACTGTACTGTACTACCTCAAATCTATCTACACAACATACAATACAAATGCATTTCATACTTATACACACTAATGACAAAACTACATTGGAACAGTTATTTCAGTTACTCTGTTTTTTAAGGAGTTGCACAGTTAAGAGCTTTTAAGCACAAGACAGTAAGTGTACATGCACACACACACACTCACACACACACATATACACACACGAACAAACACACACATACTGGCATACCATACTATACTTGGTGATGATAGCAAAATTTTGGAATTCTTACGTCAATTCTTCTAGCCTGGGACACATGGTCGTACAAGAGCCCACAACTTCCGAGTCTTCCATTCTTCAACGACGATCGACTTTTTTTTTAGGATTGAAAAATTAAAATTCAGAAAAGACGTCGTCTACCTACTGCGGCATAGATGGGCTTCACGAATTCATATTATAAAATAAAAAACTATAAAATCGTGAAGAAGGATCGCATCGCTACACGGTGTTTATTTTTTAAAAGTGAATGTGACTTGCTCCGGCTGGCAATTCATAAATTTGTGATTCAATCTTTCATCATATACCTGGAATAAAACCATGGATATCCGTATTTATATCCATGAATAAAACACGTAATATACATTTTAATGTACATATACATATATGCTTAGAATAAAATTTACTCTAAATTTTAGTGAACATCAAAATAAAAAACATCAGCAATTAAGCGATATAAACGATACTTATCAATTGGTATATATTTAATTTAATTTAATATAATATAATTTTTATTTTTCCAAAGTGTTTCTTAACCTTGCACGTTTTGTTATATTCACAGGTACAGAATACAATTAGATATAATACATCACACAAAATTTGATGTCATTGACTCGCATTGTTTGCGACCACCTTCATCCAAAGCATGGCGACCTCGATGTTTTCAAATCATATTTTGTATCTCCCGATCTTCTGAGCTCAGTCGTTTGAACGAAAAAGTGTCTTCATTTAGAAGATATGAAAAAACTATAGACAACATAACACGAAGGATTTTTAAACTGAAACAGCCCCATCATATCTCCAAGTATAGGCAGTTTTTTTAGGCACTACTGAAAGCAAGAGAAGCAATGACGTCACTGAGGTCAAGTAATGACCTCAGTATATGGACGTCACTCATCCTATATAATTGATGTAGGGAGATTTAAGTGGGTGATCGTTTGCAATGTAAAAATACAGTGGAATGGCGTAATTGCCTCCAGGTCAAAGTTCAGATCAAACGCTTCATTTCACTTCCTAATGTGTATTCATGCCATGTTTTGTTTTTTTCGGATTAGAGTAATTAATATTTGTTTAATTTTATGGTGAAATGTTTATGAAATCTTTTACCAAAATTGTAAAATTATCAATTAAGATGTTTTTTGAAAGTGTAAAAAAATAATTCATGGGCAGAGTGTGAATGCTTGAATTGAATTATGGGCCTCCATTCCATACAGACAATCGCGTGACCTCACAATTTCTGTTCCTCTTTTAATCATAATATCAAATTAAAAAAATTCGTTTTGAGAGTACGAATTTTACGCGACGAAACGGCATTGCGCAATCGCGTGCCATAACCATGGAAAGTTTGCCTCGCTAAATATAGACGCGGCATGGCGCAGCATTCAACGAAGCTATAAATAAAGTACGAACATCAACTTGCAAGGACCCTCCTTTTTTAGATGTTCGCAATTTGTTCGCCTGGGGATATCGTTTTCACTTCTTTCCGAACGTCTCTGCCTGGTCCTCCCCGCGTTCCATCCAGTTCCATTGAAAAGAAAATATTTTTATTTCAAATTAGTTGGCATTTAACCTTTAACGTTTCAAGAAATAATTGAAACAGTGCTTGTTAAAAGCAGTTACTACCAAAACGGGGTTTTTCTGTGGTTAAACATTAATAAGGGACTGCACGTCAGTTACGTTACATTATATAGAAGTTAGTGTAGTGTAGAGTAGAGCATTGTAATGACAATATTTACTAGTGTACTAATAAAAACAGTTAATGTGGATAACATAAACATTTGCCTGGTTATATTTCGGTACCTAAAATTAAAAAACTAAAAAACAAATAAGCAAAATTAAACTAGCTTTTGCAAATATTTCTTTTCCACGCGTTACCTAGACAACCATAGAGTATTTATAGCTACCAGACGACAATAAAATAGTAAGTAAGATGAATTACTGAAGCTCAATTCACAACTTCCAATTTACCAGATTTTTAGCTAATTTTCGGTTCTCTGGTTCATATTCTTTTTTCTCCTATATTAAAACCTTAAACTTTACAAAACCTTCATAATTTATGTTAGGAATAATAGTTCTAATTAAGGATGAAAGATTGCTACCTAAACATTTTAATCTGTTCGATTCACAAGCAAATTTATTCATGTTTCCCATGAAATATGTGAGTGTTCACAATTTTTTGAGCACTACTGTAGATAAATAAACTGATTGATTAATTATATATATATATATATATATACATTAAATATATATATACATTAAATATATATATATACATTAAATATATATATATATATATATATATATTTCATATATAAAAATATAACAAAATAAAAATTTATTATATATAAAAACGGATAGCATATATGTGTGTGTGCGCGTGTGTGTTGTGTGCGTGTATTTATATACTATACTTAAATATTCTATTAATAATTATTGAATTGAATTGAAAAAATAATATATTTGGCCAAAAGCACAGGAGATCAAGATACGAGTTAGTTGTCAGTATGTACAGACCAGAGACCACATTAAATAACATATGCGCGAAGAAACATAAATCAAACAAAATATAAAGACTAATAAATAATAATGAATGCAAACAAAATCAAACAGAAAATCATTAAAAGGCAACCAAGGAAAAGAAAAAAATTATCTAACAATAAGGTATATATGTATATGTAGATATAAATTTACTAAAACGGATAGTGATATATATATATAAATATATATATATACTTAAAAATTCTAATATTAATAAATATGTAAATATTTTAATCTGTGAAATTAATATATAAATTATATATAAAGGGAGAGAGGGAAAGAGAAAGAGAGATATTTCCTGTTTAACGGCGCGTTTTGTCGATATATTTATTGAAATATCCATTAAAAATTTATGTTATTAAATCTTAAAATGTGAGAAAGTGCGTGTGTGTGTATGCATTATGTGTGTGAGTGTGTGTGCATTATGTGTGTGTATGTATTCATTATGTGTGTGTGTGTGTGTGTGTGTGTGTGTGTGTGTGTGTGTGTATGTGTGTGAGAGAGAGAGTTTATCTTGTTACATCTATATGAAAAATACTTGTAACAGTAGAAATTTAAAGAAAATAAACTGATTAGATAGAATAGATCGGCCTCACAGACAACAACAACAATAACTTACCGTTCGTTATTATTTATGTTTGTCAGCAGGCATGCCCAAAACAGTTATTCAACCGACGACGTTCTCTCTATCACTGCTATATATAAATGTAATGTATATATATATATATATACATACATATATATATACATATATATACATATATATGCGAATATATATATGTATGTATGTGCCTGCATGCATATATAGGTATAATAGTTCTTGCTGTATAAAATAGATGAACCAATATGAAAAATGTTGATGTAAGGGAATTGGATGATTTAATAATTTGTGTCTCGATTAATTATTGAATTGAATTGAAACATTAATGAGTGCTTTAATTGATTAGTAGTTAGTTGCTTGATTGATAAACTTTTGATGTCGGTTCGTTTCGTTTTGTAGTAACAATTTCATCAGCATTACTCAGCAGTTTTTTGTGGTTCATTATTTACACAGCCAGCTTGTTTACACTTAGTTTAGAAGAGTATTGTTCGTTTAGTTGTTTTACTAACTAATTACTTTACTGCTTGTTTAAAAGGTACATTTAGTCTTTATAAATTATTATTTTTCCAAATTATTTTAATGTAGTAAAGTGAATACGTCGTTTTGTCGTTCGCCTTGTTGAGACATCACAAGTGATTCAAACTCGGTTAGTAGTAGTCAGTGTTTGTTGATTTGATGGTATTATTGTTATTCAAATTAAAATCATCGTATTTTCATTCATTTCGTTTTCGTTATCTGAGATGTAGTCATCTTTAAAATGTTTTATTTTTCATAGTTATATAAACTTTTTTTTGAGAAAAAGTAATTGAAATGAAAGTTGCCGAACAAATTTATTGCAAAAAATAGTTGAAGTGATGGAGCAAACGGTGATAAATAATTTTTTAAGTTTTTTAAGCAGAAAAATAAAAATTAAAAAATGACCCAATGAGCCAACTAAAATGAATGTACGTTGACAACCGTTGATGTTTATTTGTTTGTGGTGGTGGTTATACATTATAATAACCATAAGCAACATTGTTACTATTTGAGTGTAAATTGTACTTTCAGTAAAGTCGATCCTATGCATTTTTATATATAATAAAATATTATCATAAAATTTATGTAATTTTCGCTTCAAATTAGTGGTCGTTCAAATTTTTAAAATGTCAAAGTGTTCACACATTTCATGAAAAGATGGAACAATTGAAGACCGGACAACATACAAACGTTCATCGATATAATTTTATACAAACTGAAACAGAGCAGTGGCACACATACATACACAGACACACGCATACTCATACCTCTTTACACACGCACGCACACACACCCACACGCACACACACCTGCATGTACATGCACACGTAAAGAAACCAATTTATAAACAATTCAACGGCATATGTATTACAATTTAGCACAAGCACATCCTTAGATCACACACACCACACACACACCACGCACACAAACATATGCATTCGCACACACACACACACACACACGCATGCAATGCATACACAACTTTGACTTGCCAGATTACGCAATCTTTAGGCTCCGCCTATCATTACAGCTGTTTAATTGGTAAAGCGCTTGATTTTTCATTATCTTTAAAATATTTTACATTTAATTTTTTAAAAGTATTTATTCATCGAATTAGGATTTAATTTTTAATTCAATTTGATTAAATATTATTTTTTAATAAGCAACAGACAAGAATATGAGATACGTCAAAAATAGAAATGCTACTGTCGGACTGAACGGCAGAAACAGCAGTGACGCCGTTGATATGGTTGAAGTAAGCAGGACCAGCAACACTGATTCCAACAGCAGCAACTGTGCCATCAACGAGACTTTCTATGAGAATGTGAACGTCATCGACAACTTTGCCAACTTCAACACCCAGTACGGCAGCACCAACAACGTCAGCAGTATAAACAATACCAGCGGCACCAACCACACAGACAACATTAAATTCTGCAACGAGTATATATTCTTGAACTTCGATGAACAAGAACTCTACTGCAGCCAAGAAAACGTCGGTGAAGATGGCCTGCCAGACTTCAAAATTAAACAAATAGATAAAATTTACAACACAATCAACAATTGCGAAAAAAGATCCTGGGACGGAGCTAGCCGTAATTTCAATTTCTACAAAAAAGACGATTTTGCCATGAATAGTAATTTTGCATTAACCCAAGAAAATGGATTGAATTTTGGCGACGACGCCAGCAACAACGCTAACTTTTACGTATATAATAACGAGTACAAACCAAAAGATACATCTTATGACAACGGGACTGCTAAAGTCGAGATTTCTGAAGAGACAGTCGTCAAAACTGAAGATGGTCTTCATCACGAATTTGAAAAGCCATATTTTATTTCCAACAGTACTCTTTCCCCGTCCTTAATAGTCTTTCCTTCTTTATTGCAATCGTCACACTTTGCGCCTTCGCACGCAGCACTTTTTGAGGAGCCTGGAAATAACATATCAGACGTTGGAGGCAATCCTTCTCAGAGAATAAAATCAAGTCCAACATTCTCACCCGCTGAAAAAAGCCACACTGATATTTTGCCTTTTGAAACTAACCATCTGCAATCGTCGCCGTCATTCGCTTCATTTTTTCCATCTTCATCAAGCGTCCAAACCGAAAATTATTCCGTGTTTTCCATATGCTCAGATGTTCTTTCAAATGAATCTGAAAAAAAATCGGTCCCTTCAACTGGTGCTATTGCTACTGTTATTGCCGCGGTTACTACTGCTTCTAATACTGCTACTGTTAACAATACTGCTACTGGTGCTACCGATACCTCTGCTGCCAATACGGCTACTGTTACCTCTACAGATATAATTAAAGTATTAAAAGTAGTCAAGAAGCGGAAAAGAGTGAAGATGGACGAAGAAGCTCGTAAGTTAAAAAGGCAGGAAAGTAACAGAAAGGCCGCTGAGAAATACAGAGAGAAAAAAAAGGAGGAACAAAAATCGAATGACAAAGTAGGTTAATGGTTTGTTGGATGGTTTGTTGGACAGTCAAACATGTCTTGGTTTGTTGGCTTAATTATTTACGTGTTGTTTAATCTTGATTTCTATATTAATTTTTTTTTAGGAATTCCAGGCTATCTCAGACGATCTTCGCACTTATAAACTCAAGTATGGATTACTAAAAGACGGTGTCAAAAAATTCATTCTCGCATCATCATCGTCGTCACAATTTTCATCATTTACACAGACAGACATTTTTAAGCAACTTAAAGAATGCCACAACAAGGCTGAAAATTTTAATTGTTAACGTTTCAGTGTATTTTTGTTTATCTTTAATATCAGAGAATTATAATGGATCATTAATGCAATTAGTTTCTTATTGTTCTTGTTTCAATTGTCGTTGTGGTTTTATTTTTACTTTTTTTATTTAGCTGCACGTTTTGTTGGCATTTCTTTTTTATTTTTTGATGGAACTTTTTAAGCAACAAAGTACAAAATTTGTTCTGAAATAATTGTAATCATTGCAATTGTTTATATATAACTTCTTGGAGATATTCATGACGGGAGGTCCCCATTGTTAACTATTTATTTTTTATGATCTGTGATTACGTTTGTCAATGTTAATTTGTTAATTTGTAATTATTTGTTAGTGCATCGTTCATTAAAAACATGTAAAAATTTTTTATTGTGATTTGACACGTGGTAGCGTTTTTTGAATGGTGATCGAAAATAATAATTAATACACAGGTACCAGTATTTTTGCTCAAGTTTTTTTCCCGAAGTACATTAAAATTAGTAATTTTGTTGTTGTTTATTTTTTTATACCTCTAAAAACTTGAAATATGTTATAACACAATTTGTAAATTATAACTCATCCGATACTTCGATAATCATTTTGCCAAGTAGCTTTTAACCACGCGTACCTGTATTTTATTTTTTTTTACCACGTAACGACGTCAAAGTGTTTAAATTTTTAGGCATGTTTTACGGATATTTAAAATTCAGAATTTGTTGCATTATTTCAGTTTCTGTACTATTTATGTAGAGACTGTTGATAATTAATATAATTAAAGAATGATTTGGAAATGTTTGTGTATGTAAAAAAAAAATTCGAAAATAATTGCCGGTCTTAATTTAACTTAAAACCTCAAATTTTCCAAATTCTTTACAATACAATACATTTTTATTAGAACCCTTCAATGAAAAAAAAGAACAAGGCTCAGGCTGACCGTGAAGAGTCAAATAAAGACTCTTCGAGCCCAGCCACCTTTTCAATCGACCAAATAAATATAAAAAAAGAAAATACTAGTCTTAGATTAATAAATATGTATCTAAATTTGTATGAACGAATTATATTAACACGTTGGAGAGAAAAATACAATACCAAAATTACTAGGAAGTTACAGAATTTGTTCGAGAATGATATTACCACACAGATCAATATACACCCTATTATTTAACTAGCTATAAAAAAAACTTTGCATCAATTTGATATTGTTTCTAGCAATAATTTTTACATCACCCTAGATGGTAGCATTGGAAAATTACAAAAATAAATAAAATAGACTCTTAGTACTTCGAGCAGATAAGCCACTATATTTTTGTGTCAAGATACAGTTAAGGTTTTAAATCCCATTTTCGTTTTCACGAAGATTTTATAGTTCAAAATTATCATTTGTTTTTCTTTTACTTTAAATATTATTAATAACCTATAAAAAGGTTATATAAACACACAAATAATAATAAAAATGTTTATTTTATTCTTATTTATAATACTATCCATTAGTTCCATCCCTGACCTTTTGATGTTGTTTGAAATTGCAGAAACACGGTCTTTAAATTAATATTATTCGTTCCACATCGATTAGATTATCAGCTGTAATTGAAATAATTGAAATGTGTAACAATATTCAACATTGGTGTAACAAATCATTAAATTTAAAATCACAACAAGACTTCCCAAGATCATTATGACTACAACATTTTATTTTAACACTGCGGATAGAAAAAAAAAGAAAAGTGCTGTACGTAAATATTTACAAATAAATACAAAAATAACTGTAGTTTACAGTTTATTTTATAAAATGGAATGAAGAATGAAATTGTATTTTACAAATAGTTAGTTTAAAACACATATGAAAATCACTTAATACAAATTAAGCACCTTTCTTGTTAATAAAAAAGGTTTTGTAAGTGAACTTTTACGGATTGCAAAACATTTCATTTCTCTTTTCGAAAAATATTTTTTACTGTAACCTTGCAACGTTCCCTATAGAATTAATTCATAGAATGATTGTAAAGTAGGAGGTTATAGCTAATTTTAAAAAAAAATGGATTTTATCGAAATCAATCTTTAAATATAATATTTTGTAATGAAAAAAATAAAAAAAAAGAATGCACCCTCCATTAATGGCGTACTCTAAGTTGAGGGAGTTTTTAACTGAAACTGTTGTTTGTTTAATGATATTTACATTGGAGACTGTTCATTTATATAATATATCAATACATTCTCAATTCAGTAAAGATAATTAATAATTTAAAAAATTCAGTAAATCCAGTCCTCAAGTTTCTTCGTCGCGTTCAAATTGGTGACTGTTTATTGGCATTAAAAGTTCATTTTTTGAGTTGTGACCATTAGTGAGACTACTGTGTTCGTTGATTTTGGCGCTTTCCTGGTTTGCAATTGTTAAAATCGAAGAAGATTTACTGAAATTCATTTCAACGTTTTCAATCCTAGTATCATTCTTAGTTATGCGAAGATCTGGTGAAATTTTTACATTCAACGGACTTTTGTCTTGAGATTCACCATTCAAAATGGGAATTTTTATTCCGTTCAGAGCATGTCCGGAAAAATTTCGTTCCGGTTTCAAATCACTGCCGTCATGTTTTGAACTCAACAGTTGTTGTTGCTGCTGAAGCATAAAACTTTCTTGCAACATTAATTGTTGATGATTTCTGAAGTGGGACCATGAATGAGAGTACGGGTTGGGAAAGAATGAGGGCAAACTTGCAAAAGCTGGCGATACTATCGAGCACCGGGGTACAGATTTCATTTTGTTACCTCCACCAGATGGCGATTGACAGATTTTTCCATCTTTCACCAAAACTGGAACTGCTACTCTTTTTGGCGCGGGTAATGGTGTGAGCTCCAAGCCACGTTCCTGTCTGAAATTATATTATATGAACGTTAAATGCAGGATAACATTAGAACAAGATATGTACTTGATGCAATTTAGGATAACAAATATATTAATATAATATTAATTTTTAAAAACAATTTGTGCTTTATTAACGTATTTTTTTTACAAAAATTTTGATTCAATAAAAGAAAATAATAACTTTAAATTGAACAAACCTAGCTTTTTTCAACTTGTATCGGTGGTTTTGAAACCATATCTTAACTTGCGTTGGACTCAGCCTTAAAATACTTGCCAGATGTTCTCGTTCTGGAGCTGATAAGTACCTCTGCTGTCGAAACCTTCGTTCAAGTTCGTATGTCTGACTTTTGGAAAAAAGAACTCTGCGTTTCTTTTTGCCACAACTTAAATCCCCAACGCCCAAGCACGGGTTTGTAGATTGGTATAGAAATGAGGATGACGAACACATGTTTTCGTTATCCATTTCGTCGGAGCTGCAGGCACTGGTGTTTGTGTTCGACGCCATTGCTTCCGCCGTTACAACAGACATACGATTGTTGCTGCTGTTGTTAGTGGTGGGGGTGTTACTGTTGATGTTGTAATTGTGAAAACTACTGGCATTGATTTCATCGTTAGCGTTCACATTGTTTCCGGTTTTTAGAACTTTTGATTGATGAAATTCGATGTGGCTGATATTTTTTGTTGGAACAGTTTGTTGATCAACTTCCATGAAATCGCTCTGGTCATCATGGCGACCAACATCCACGTCTTCGTCGTCATCGTCACTGTCACTTATTACGTTGAATTCATCTTGCTCATTTCTGCAGCTGTTTTTTTTGTCGAAGTCGCAATAATGGCTATCCTCAATTTTATCTTCAATGTTGCCAATGCTCTTGTTGGTGATATCGCTATTACTTTTTCTATCAAAAGGACGCTTTAAGTTGTTGTACAAATTGTTACATGGGACTGATGAGGACTTTTCATTGCTGCATTCCTTCGATGAGTGTCCGTGACTCAACATTCCACTCGTCTTGACATCCTGTGAGCTGACTGCGATCGGATTGACTGATGACAAATGTTGAGAATTCAGAATTTCTACGTTTACCTTCTTCATCTCATTTTGAACGTCCTCACCCACTTCAACGGCCTCATCCTTTAAGTTGCCGTTTCTATTACTCTTCATGACGTCACGGTTATCGTTTTCGTGGTCAGAATGGTAGTTGATCGTAACTCTCGGCAAATTAATTTTGTTCATCCTGTTGATGTTTTTGACTTTATTGTCATTTCTGTTGTTATTGGCATCATTTCTGCTGTGTGTTGTTTTAGTTCTTTGCACTTCCGGACTGTCTCTTTCGTCGTCACTATCGCTACTGACGTTAAATTCTTTTCTGTCAAATTTTTGGTTAATGTTGTTGCTGCTGCTATTGTTGATGTGGTCATAATGTTTGCTGTGATAATGGTGGTTGAAGTGGTTGCTCCTGTTCATCATGATCTGAGGTCTTGGATCTGTTTGGGACATTAACAAAAATGTTAACACGTCCTGCGTTGAAACACGCATTCAAATGTTGTTACAACTTTTCACAAAACTCATCATTAAAATTACAGTAACCGACAAAGAAATTTAATTGTTGTATAAAATTTTTTTTAATGAGAGTTTAAATTAAAATCAGTTTAGTGTATCTCACCGTTTCCGTTGAAAAGATTTGCAAATTCGAGCCTGGAAAAGCAAATCATGTTGTTGGGGTCGATGCATAACTTCAAAAAATCATCCCCATCAAACATGTTGTTCATTTGTTGCTGTTGTTGTTGTTGTTGCTGCTGCTGATGTTGCTGAAGGTGTTGATGGTAAAAATGTTGTTGTTTACTCAACAAATATGTCATTGCATCAATCCGATTGCATTTGTTGTAAAATTTGTTTTTGTGGTTGTTAAGTATTTGCTGATACTGTTGTTGTTGGTAGTGACTTTGGTGGTGGTGGTGATGGTGGTGGTGATAGTAAGGGTAACTACTTGTGTTGTTGTTGTTGCTGTTGCTGCTGCTGTTGTTTTGAATTATGCCATCAGAATCACTATCGGAGTTGTTGGTGATGTTGCAGTTTCCGTTACAATTATTGATTTTGTTTAAAAAGTTTTTTGTTGCGATTTCGTTATTTGCGAGATTATCAACGCTGTAGCTATCGCTGCTGCTACTGTTGCCGCTGATTCCATTTATGTTGTTGCTTATGTTCATGTTACAGATGCTGTTAATATTTGCTTTTCCTGTAAAGTCCTCGTTGTTCATGCCGCTACATTTGCTTGCGTTGTTACAACTTTCATTTTTGTCGTTCATAATACGAATAAAGTTGTTATTGACGTTGTTGCTGTTGCTGTTGCTGCTACTACTGCTGCTGCTGCTGTATTTGTTGCTGTTGTTGTCATTGTCGTTACTGCAACTGCTGCTACAGCCGCTGTTACAGCTGATGATGCTGCTACCGTTCTTGTTGTTCATTTCATAGTCGATGTCATTGCTGTTACTGCTGCTATTATCATGACAGTTGTCGTTGTTGTTCTTAATCTTGTTGAGGTCATTTAAGCCATTGCTGATGTCGTTAGTGGTTTTGTTGCTGCTGTTGCTGCTGTTGCTGTTGTCTCCGTTCCTTTCCTTGGGTGGTGATGGTGTGTTATCAAAGTAAAATCGCTCTGATTCGCTGCAATCTTCACTGGACGTTGTGTTGTTGTTACTGTTGCTGCAGACGCCACTGTCATTGTTGTTGTCGTTGTTGTTTTTGTTGTTGTTGTTGTTATTATTGTTGTTGTTGTTACTACCCTTGAGTTGTTGTTGTTGCTGCTGATGTTGTTGTTGTTGATGTTGTTGGTGGTGATGTGCTGTTCTGTTGTGGTTTCCAAATGTTTTGCCTTCCGATGTTGATGAAGACGATGATGAGGATGAAGAGGAAGAAGACGAAGACGACGAATGCTGGTTTTCGCCGTTGTGACTTTTCGTGCCCTTCAAAATGCTGTCCACACTGAAACTGACCTTCAACATCGCCGCCAGTTAGAGTCGTATTTCAAAAAATTTTCTCTTAGTCTAATTAATGTTGAAATATGAAAGTGTGTTTATTGTGTTTGTTAATTTCCAGAGGTGCAACTTTTGTAAATGATGTTGATATTGCTGTAAGTTGATGTTGTTGTTGGTTTATGTTTTGTTGCATCTGTACAAGTTTTCACCTTTCTTTCAATAGAGTTTTCTATTAATTTTGATTTATTATCACTTAGACGTTTTTCATAACAATCTACCACTTAG